GACTCTTTTAATCAAATTGGGATACCAGCGAGTACACTTCCTGGGCTTTCGTTCACATACGGGACTGTTTCCTGTGTGTGCATATATTTTAAATAAAATTTTATTTGTTCGTTTTTTCACTATTTATACATTGAGAATAATGTTAAGTCAATTAAAACCAACCATTTCTATGTGGGGCTCAAAATATGGATTTAGCGAAGGGGCATTTGATCTGGCATAACGTTTAATCTTTTTCAGCCAATGCCTCTGGACGATAGAAGGTAAAAGGAGGGACTATCGTGTCAGAGAGATTATTTGGATGCTTCCCAGAGAGTGGAAATGGATTAGATTAAGGAAATGCAATACAATGTTTAGAAGAGCACACCAGCTATCAGCTAGCTTAAGGCGTTTTTCGTAATGAATAGTTCTTGAAAGTGGTATAACAGGGTACGGGATAAAATTTTATTAAATTTGGAAAGATAACAAAATAAATCTACTTTTTCACCACAACACCATAACACATGACACAACATGACGTGACACTACTCCACACTTCCCTATTTTGTCATATTCTGAGCCACTTTATTTACTTGGCTCGGATCCAGCTATTCTCTGTGGTATGTCCCAAGGATACAGTCTATGACTACAGACTCTCAAGGTGTGCATCCGAAAATACAGATTCCGGGTATGCTTGTCCTCTGGACCCACCAGCAACTGGATTCTCAACGTTTACCCGCGGTTGCGCCTCGGACATTCCGGGAAACTGTTTTGGCATACCGCTGAGGGCACTAAAGCTGGATATGACGTTTACCTTAGAAAATCTCAAGGTGGAGGAGGTAAGCAGATGCCTGTGGCTAGAATTGCATTAATCAAGATAAGGATAGTATAACTTTATGCAAGTCCTACTCTCTCAGCTTTACATAAACTTACAGTGTCGGAAATATATGAGATGTATTCACCCTCTTCCGTTGAAGATGATAAGGGGACTGGTAGTGGGAAACCTGCTCAAAGAGGAAAAATAACCGCCAAATTGCCACGAGTCTCTTTGGGTCAAAGGTCAGAGGTGAATTTCAAGGCATTTTTTCATATAGCATTCTGTGTTGGGATTTTTGCTGGAACAAAATTATATGTTAGTCTCTCTCTGGTAGTCTCGAAAACCAAAGTATAAACGAAAAATAATTATTGCACTCGATTGCCATAGCAAATACAAAGTACTTTCTCGACAATCCCTCCACACAATGTATTATGGGAAAATGCCTGGCCTTCCTTGAAGTGCCCATCTGCCCTGTGACATAAGAGAACAATGCTGTATTAAATTTAATGCAAAAATAAGTTTTACTCATAGCATTATAGACAATATTAAAACTACCGTTCTTTCTTAAAATTTAACGAAATAGGATGAAAAAATTTAAAATACTTTTGTTTTGAAATAGTTTACGAGACTGCTGTCACGTCTTACATAAGAGTTGTATTTACTTAATTTCGTGTAAGGGAACGAATGACTGGTAGTTGAATGTTTCCTTTAATTACTATAATTTATAATTGCGATTTTGAAAATTCAAATAGTGCAAATCACTTGCTAATATTTTATGTTACCAAAAATGCCTTTTTGCATCATTTCTATCTCATTTTGTTTAAGGTATATAAATATACCCCGGCGAGTATTGGCTGGAACTACTTCACTCCGGATAACAACTGGCGGGTCAAGCCTGGATATCGCTTGGGCTTCATTGCTTCCCACATATCAACACTGTCCTACATCGTGGTTACTGAGGATTATCCCATCGATTTAATTGCATTTAAAATCAAATCAGTGGTAAAAGGTCAGGAGATCGCGCAATCAAGCTTTATGAAGATGACCAAAAGACAGCACCAGGTTGAGACATTAAACAATCCGATATACAAAATTTTGTTAAGGAAGTAATCATGAGATAAATTAACCAGCTAAATTAAAATGACACCAACTTTACCGTAGAAAATAAAAATCGTCATTTAGCCAGCTTGAACAAACAATTAAATTGCTTCTCAAAACTAATATATTACAATTAATTTTACCTCCTAACTCTGCTTATATTAAGCCCTCAAACACATTCTACTACTAAAATTAATGCTAGTTTCAACATAAAATTATGATTTCAGCTTAAGTCAAATCGAATGAGGATTAATAGTCCATAAAGTTGTTAATTTAATAATTCGATTGTTTTAAAAATCCATTAAAGGTTAATTAGTATGCGCTAGATTTGATTGAAATTACTGTTACGTCAATAAGCCTTAGAATAAAGGATGTTGACAGAAATTTGAACACCTTTTCTCAAGGTCTAGCAGGCCTTATTTACTTTATTCAGAAAAGATAAGTAAATTGTTAATAATAAATAAATAGTGAAACAAAATATTTTTTATAGAATTGTATGCAATTCTCTAATGTCTAATCCAAAGTAGGCAGCCACAAATGTGTGTTCCAAAATTTCATACATGCTTTGGAGATACGGGTCATCACATTCGATTTACGAATCATGGCACGTCTTAAAAAAAAACTAGAATTGGAAGAAAATATTGAAGCAAGAACTATTTATTAATGAATGAGAAACCTCAAGAAAAAGGGTATTAAGTAACCTTAATAAGAAGACCCCTCTCTAATATATCCTCGACTTTACTCCTAATTGGTGTCACACTTTTTACACTTATGCTCATTTAGATAATCAGCTCAAGAATATTAGTTTCATGAATTACCCAACCATAATTACATGTCTCACTGGTTCAACTATGCGAAAAAAAGTACATTTAGTTTTTCCAACCTTAGAATAGATGTACAATACCATTCCAAATTGTTGGAACCACCGATGTGATCTCATATGTCCCTATTTATGTATAAGGACATCATCACTCTCGATAGATATCATTTGGAGCTAACTATACCTTATTTTGCTAGTCATTGCACAAGTTGATTCATGGGTGAAGAAGATTGATTGTGTGTTTGAGATTGTTATAATAACGTATACTGTTCCTGATGCTGTTTGCCATATGACAGATGAAAGTTTGGCAAGTTTTTCATCGGAACTAAAGAATGGGGCTTCGAGGATAGCGTCAGTCAAAATGCCTCGGGTTAACTAAATGTCAGACTAGAGGGAACAACACCATCGTCCTCTGGTGAGATTAACCTACGCAGCTTTTCATTGGGCAATTTCAAGTGGAACTAAATTATAGTCAACCCGTACGAGAAGTATTGCATTAACTAGCTTGGAATAATTTAATTAGACTACTTAAGAAGGATAGCACTAGTAGTAACATTTATTGTATTTCTTGAATATACGAGATATCAAACGCCAAGCTGATAAGAGTAGTGATAGTTTCCTCCTAAAATCATGCTTTCAACTTAAAATACCTTCGGTTGGAGAGCGCCTATTGTCATAAATATACGGGTCTACGCTTTTAAGGCCATATTCTCAGCGAAATAGTTGATAACTGTTAGTATTTGCAGAATAAAACAAGCAGGTTCTGTCTGGAAAGTTGTCTCGTATTCTGAGGGACATCCATAATAATTGAAAATGGTTGTGCTCCTCGTACGGAAGCATGAAAAGCGTCTAGGGTCTATGGCAGACATGAAATGTCAACCAATCAAAGTAGAAAGGTATCATCACGAAAATTTGACTGGCCTAAATTTCAAGTTCACAATGCTCGAAGCCTTCATTGGCTATGAAATATTTTCAGATTAAATATTAAAAGTAAGCAATTAGGTCTAATCATATTAATGTATCTTTGACTTTCGAAGCAATAGGACCGTAAAGTCTCTGGTATCTTGTTCGTCTTGCCCAAGAATGCAGCTCATGTTTTATTGCTTTGTATGGATTACATATGCAGGGGAATGAGTTCTTCTTTGGGCTATTCTTTCAGCTTCAAAGCATCTAACATTGTGAAGTCCATGAGGTGGAACTCTGCTTCCTAAGGCAGTATCAGGAAATGTTCCCAAATTGGGCATAAACATGCAATTTAGCATTATCCGTTATACTTTGCTTGATTTGAGCAAGAAGTCTCATCACTTTTGAATGGAAAACAAAATGATTTGCATTCACCTTTTCAGATTGGCGCCTACATTCGTCCTGAAGTATCAATGCGTCTAACTGGCAAACTATCAAATATTGGGACTCAGTCTGTCTCCATAACACTCAGAGCCTACTCCAAGAACTTCTCGACCCACAATTTCACTAGCTCATCCAGCATAAATATAGTACAGGGCAGCACTGACTGCGAACTGGTCACAAAGGTGGCTGCCGCCGGCAATCCCACCCAACTAAAACTGACCAATCATGGAGGCAAGCAAGCAAAACTTAGTTTACATTTTTGTGCATGCAAATAAATGTTTGAGGCTGCAGCATGAGCCGGATATGCAGAGACTACTTAATTCATCAGAAGTATCCCATTACTTTTATCATACTATTGCCATCATGTGCAGATTCAAGTGTGGTCCTGCTCGCAGAAATTGGTCTGGTTTAGAATGTAATAACTGTTTATGTAAAGGATGAAGATTTTAAGTTATTTTTATTTTTATTTCTTAACTTGCATCTCCCAAATCAATTTCTATCAAGGTCAGGGAAGCCTGATAACGATAATGATAGATTTGGAAATTAGTGTTGATCGTGAATAAAAGATGTATGTGATGATAATTGAATTGTTCCACAACCTAAAGATAATTTTTCTTGAGTATGAGATTACTTCTTAATGATGAATGCGATTTTACGTTTTTATCAAGCTAAATATCAGCCACATCATGGCACACACCCGTAAGATTCGTCTTAGTCTTGTAAAAATCCACATCTCTAATCTGCAAAAATGTATGCATCAAGTAGACAGCCAAATCATGGAATGTCTCATTAGGATCGCAAAGTTTGAAATAAGAAATGAGTTTGATTGCTTTAGGCTGGCTCATTGTATTTAGTATTTTTTCGAAAATATGCTTTCTAGCCAACTTTTCTTTCAAATTGAAAGTCAAGTCACGCTAGCTCACTAAGGAAAACTTAAAAACTCAGCTTTTCCCTGTATTAACGAAGTTTTTACGGTCTTGGAATTACTCATCATATACGTAGACCAGGAAATTGATAACCAAGCAAGTCAATAACATTCGTTT